CCCCCCCCCCCCCCCCCCCGAATCCTCTGGCAAAAATGCTGTTCTCACGCCATGCATGGGAATAACTCCCTCTTGCATAGCTGTCCCGCTCATGGGTACCTAATCCTTTGCACCAATATGTCATTTGCACACCCCTGACAGAAGCACCTAGTTCTCACACAACTACCTCCTTTGCACACTCCAACCTCTTGCTTGTACATGTGCCCCTTTGGCCACAGCCCATCTCCCTCACATGTCTCTGGCACTACCATCCACCATTATTCACAAGCACCAGCCTCTTGCCTGCCCCTGTGCCACTTTTTGCACCAGTCCAAGTGCCTATCTCATGTCCCTCGCATGGGCGCCGGCCTCTCACACAGCCAACCCTCTTGTGCAAATCTCTTCCTGGTGCCTCACACCTGTGCCTCCCTCCCCCTGCTCTCCCGGCAGCTGACAGAGGATGAAGCAGGGACCCCCCCATCCCCACTGCAGGTGGATGATGTGGCAGAGTTTGTGCTGCACCCTGCACCCCAGGGGCTCACGGTGCGGTGCCGCATCACACGGGACCGCAAAGGCGTTGACAGAGGTGTCTTCCCCTTCTACTACCTGCACCTCGAGCGTGAGGATGGCAAGAAGGTACAGGGGTGGGGGCCTAGGGGCTGCAAAGTGAAAGATGGGACCCCTCACCTGGCCATGAGCACAGCTTGGTTGGGGCTAAGAGGGGATCCCAGCAGTAGGGGACAAGGAGTGGGGAAGGGGATTCTGGAGGGTGGATAGGGGAGCTCAATGGGGAGTCCAGTCAGCAAAAGGGGGGGGTGCAGTACAAGGAAGTCCCTGCAGTGTCGGGGGGTCCTATAGAAGTCCTGGCAGTGGTGTGGGGGAGGCTGGCTGGTGGGGGTCCACAGTGGCAGAAAGGTACCTGGGAGGGCCTCACCCCCTCTCATCTTGCCTGTCCCCCCTTCACACCCCACTGGCCCCACCTACAGCTGTTCCTGATGGCTGGGAGAAAGAGGAAGAAGAGCAAAACATCTAATTACCTCATGTCCCTTGACCCCATCGACCTGTCCCGCGATGGGGACAGCTTTGTCGGCAAAATCAGGTGAGGCCTCCATGCTCTCCCCACCCTCCCCGTTCCCCCCCAGAATCGGCTGCCAGCCCTGGTTCACCAGCCCCTCATCTCACGGCTGCAGATCCAACGCGCTGGGCACACGGTTTACAGTGTTCGATAATGGTGTCAATCCCAACAAGAAGCCCTTCATCCCCGAAACGGCACAGATACGCCAGGAGCTGGGAGCCATTTGCTATGTGAGGAAGAAAAAGGGCACTGTTGAAGGGAAGCTTGCAGTGCTGGGGGGCGCTGCTGAGGGGGGCTTGCAGCACTGGGGGAATCACCAGCTGAAGGCACTGCTGTGGGGAAGCTCACAGCAACAGGCACTCCAGCTATGCAGAGGTGGATTTGGCCTTGGGAACAAAGGGTTAATGCACTCTCATATGTGCTCTCTCTCTCTCCTCCTTCCCCACCCCATGCCTGCTCCCCACATCAGGAGACCAATGTTTTGGGGTTCAGGGGTCCCCGGAGGATGACAGTGATAATCCCAGGCATGGACATAGACAATGAGAGGATCAGCATCCGGCCCAAAAATGTGAGTGTGACAGGGAACCCTGCCTTTTGGCACTGCTGTAGGGAAGCTCACAGCATTGAGCTGCCCCTGGCTGCAGGGCACAGCACGGGGTGTCCCCTTGGGTGTAGACATGGGCAGATCTTTTGTAAAGAGAGTCCTGGAGCTATGGCTGGAGCTCTGGGGGTGGCTGCATCCCCTACTCCCAACCATCTGAAGCTAGGCCGTTCATGCTGTGGGAGCAGCAGCCCAAGGACTTATTTTAAGTCCCTGAATCAGGTAAGAATTGTCCCCTCCATGCTTAGCGGCACCTCCACTCCCCCACACGCTACTGCTGCTGGGTCTGCTGTCTGCCCCAGGGATGACAGGGAACTCCAGAGCCACTCATGCTCTGCTCCAGCAGGGCTCAGCCAGAGACAGCAGCAGCAGTGGGAAAGTTCCCCGTCCCTGAGCCTACTTCCACATGACCCCCCTACTTCCACTTTGGCCCCCACATGATGGCCTCTCCCCTGGGGCAGGAACACGAGACGCTACTGAGCCGGTACCAGAACCGGAACCTGCAGAACCTGCTGGTTCTCCAGAACAAGGTGCCGGCCTGGAACGCAGAGACCCAGTCCTACGTGCTCAACTTCCACGGCCGCGTCACCCAGGCTTCTGTCAAGAACTTCCAGATTGTGCCCGACCACGACTGTGAGTGTGTGTATTGCGGGGGGAGGCAGCTATGGGGCCTACAGGGACCAGGGATGGGGTTGGAGGGGGAAGATGGAGGCACTGCCAGTCTGGCCTTTCTGCCCCCCTTCTAGGTAACTGTAGGTCAGGGTTACTTGGTGGGTCCAGAGGCTAACACCCCCAATCCCCTCCACTGTGGTGTAGTTTGGGTGGTGCCAGGAGCAGTCAGAGTGTGCTGGGATGGATTGGAGGTTCCAGGGGGAGTTGGGGAGTGCCCAGGATATGTGGGGGCTGGGGGTGGATTGGGAGATGCCAAGGATATGGGGGTACCAGGGATATAGGGGGGCTTTTGGGATGGATTGGGGGGTGGTAGGGATATGAGGGTGCTGGGGTAGATTCAGGGGGTCCCAGGAATGTAGAATGCTGGGTGGACCGGGGTACTGGGGAGGATTGGGGTGAGTGGCACCCCTGTGTTAACCCCCATCTCCCCCCAGCTGAGTATATCGTGCTGCAGTTTGGGCGGGTGGCTCCTGACGTCTTCACCATGGACTACCGCTTCCCACTCTGCGCCCTGCAGGCCTTCGCCATCTGCCTGTCCAGCTTCGACGGGAAGCTTGCCTGTGACTAGGGGGCTGCCGCTGACCTCCAGCCTCTGGCCTCCACCAATATTGATCCCCAACTCTCACCATGAGCCAGTTTACCCTTGACCCCTGACCTCTCCCCCAGCTGTGACTTGGTCCTCCCAGGTCACCTTTGACCTCAGAACTTTCTCCCAACGGTGACCTCTTGGACTTCTCAGGTCATCTTTGACCTCTAGCCTCACTTCAGTTCTGACCTCTTTTCCAGCCTTAACCGGTCATTCTGCATCACCACTGAGCTTTGACTTTTCTCACCACCTAATCATGTGACCTCACATCTCTTCCCATAGTCCCTTCTCTGTATGACCTCTGACCTCATCCCCCTTGACTGTTGATCCAGCTTCTCAAACTCGACTCTGACCTTTGCCCTGGTCTCTCCCCCATTTGACATCCAACTCTCTTTGGGCCAATGGCATTGCCTCTCAGCCTCTCCTCTCCACCCCCACCAAAATGTCTCACTCCTCTCTGCTGAAGATGTGGATACCATTGCCATGACAACAGCTACCATTTTGATTGACTCAGTTTCCCTTTCCCCCTCCAAAGTAGGGGGCTCAGGGCCATGTAGGTTGGGGGGCCCTACCCATGGACTACAGAGAACCCCTGGGATTGTAGCAGGCTCTTGAGTGAAATAAAATCTACCTGGAAAGGACAAGGATGACACTGAGGGAGGGGAGGGGGCTGGACATTTTGGGTGATATTGCAGTGTCACCCTGCCCCCTACATACATTAAGGAGATCCTGGGTTGGGGGAGAGGAGACAAAATTCTGGGCCCTCTCTTGGCAGAAAAAGGGTTAAATAGCTTCCCTCTTAGATCAGCTACCCTGGGGACTTGGGGGGCGGGCGAGGGGGGATGACACCTGCCTTGGGGATCTGGGGGGTGGGGGCATGCTGGAAGGCAGGGGTAGCATAGTGGTGATATCC